CTATTCCACACAGCAAGATGAAGTTAACCACCATTATAATTCTTTTTCCCCATTGTACCCTCTGAATGATTCAATAGTAATGGCATGTGATGTGTGCTTAATTCACTGACAACCAACAATTTCAATATATCTATCAAGACACAAATATAGCAAGTTCGAGTTACGCATTGACTTGTATTACCTTGCAAGGAACGGTTCGAATGTAGTCCAACACCAGTTTTGCAGTGTTACCTCTAACAGGTCTGTGCCTTTGAGAGATGAACTGACAGTTTTAGATGGACTAACATCAATGCTAATTGGTAAATTCCTCCAAAAAAAGGGTTCTGAATAAAATATTTAATAATGTTTTACCTGTAAGACTAAGGAAACAAACTTCGACAGGCAAATATCTTTAATTTTCAATTGATTGAGAATCTCCAAATTAATAATGGCATATCCCAGCTACAAGAAGCATCATCCAAACTCACATCCATCAAAACTTAATAATATTAAATAAATAAATAAATGGAGTTAGAGAGAGAACTGCTGAAGAGAAGGAATTATATAAGATAGACAGACGTAAAGAACCTACCCACCTCTGTTATGGTCAAAGTCTGATTTGCCAGGCTTAAACAAACTTGATCAATAAATAAGCGTGTTTTCCTACAGGCGGAAATAATGGCACGTAGCTCGGACTTGAGAGTACCTAAAACTCAAAAAATGGTGAGATGAAATCATGAATCTCGTAAATAATCATTGAAGAACCATCTATAGGTAACAAAACCAATCCCTTGGCAATTATAACCTTAGCAAACAAGGCAAGACACCAAAAAAATCAATGGTTTTCTCTCAGCTGTTTAAACTTAGTTTCTATAGGTTTCTTAGTTAAAAAAAAAAAGGTTTTTTTATTGACTAATTGTGCTGCAGCCTGCAACTATTAATCAGGTGTTTTGTGTCGGAAAGAAATGATGGCATTTTTTGAGATAGGTTGAAAAATGAAAGAATAAAATCATAGTGATGTGAATCATGTGATGTTTAAGACTTCTTGGAGTTACCTAAATCTTCTTGTAATTTTTTTTCCTTTTTCTGATTCAAGCTAATTGGAGAGCTTTTTGTAGCTTCTTTTGCCCTCTTAGGAGAATATCTTATCTTTCCTTCCCGTATTCTTTGGGGTTAATGGAATCATTTCTTATTCAAATAATAAAAAAGCATTTAGAACAAACTCATAAACATTAACTTCCTAGCAACTCACAAGATGACAGATCTCCTAATGACATTCGAATTCTGTTACGAGCAAACAGTGAACTCCGATTTGTTGGGTCTTCAACCCAATCTTGATTAGCACCTTGACATATCTGCAAAGTGCAGACAGAATTATGTTAACATGAATAGTTTTTGTGCAACGAATGAAAACACGTCCCTTAATAGATATTTTTATGCGATTTGAGCTTTTAACCTTGTACATGTCATCTTTAGAAAAATCCATTAGTGGTCTCACAAGAAGGATACCACAATTCTTCGAAACTTCACTGTAAGAATATGTATGCGAGGAGAAAATCTGAGAAGTGAAAGGCATGCCAGCAAGTCCAAGCACACCACTACTGCGAGACAACCTCAGAATGAATAATTCAGCCTGCATTGTGTCTCAGCAATCACTATATTTCTAGCATCTGTAACAAGCTTCCAGCATTGCAATTAATTCAGTTGATGATAACCCTAAAGAGTAAAGCTACAATACAAGCTATATGCTCTAGCAAACTCGTGAGATTTGGGAAAATGGGACACTTTTTGCCAACTAAAATAAGACGAGCTTAAATTGAAAATTTCAATGCACGCTTGATATCAAAGAATTTAACCTGATCATCCGCATGATGTGCAACAAGTATCACTCCAATCTTCTGTTGAACACAAACTTTCTGCAACATTTGGTATCTGAAGTCAAAGCAAATGAATTAAGGTTGCAAACTAGTGAATCTATTCTGGCAGCAAGCAAACATTAGAAAGTCAGCCAATAACCACAGTCTACACAGCAGAAATTTAGCATATTTGCAAAACCGAAAACCACCTCATATCACGGGCTGCTTCTTGCAAGTGGCCCTGCTTTGGTCTACCGTCGGACCAATCACAAGATGCAATCTCACATCTGATACCTACAAGAGTAAATAGTTATATACGAGTTGACCATTTATATCAAAAAAACTTTGACTGCACTCATATTATCGTAAGCAAGCAAAGAGAACAAACAATACTCGTGCAGAGTTGCTGTACCCAAATTAGTAACTCGATTCCAAACAACTTTAGCCTCATCTCTACTCTCAGCACGAAGCCCATGATCCACTACTATGGCCAGGAGCCCGTCGATAAAATTGCTCCTTTTACCAGTGGCATTCAGGCCGTCCATTTTCCAATCCGCCGTAAGAGCACACAGAGCCATGCTATCGGGTCCTCCACTAACTCCCAGAGCTGAAGATGAATCAAAGAATAAACGATAATGCCGTTAGTTTGGGTTTTCAGTTTAGAATCGGAAGACAGTATTACAATTTGACACTTCAGTTCTCGGTTACTGTTGGGGAAAACCTTGTGCTGATTTGAATTATAGAAAGAAAGATACATATGAGGGACAGGTGAATTGCCACTAGTCGGAGGAAAAACTGACCCCGTGTGAAATAACAATGCCCAATTCAACACACCAGATTGTCAAAAAAAAAAAATGTTACAGACCAATTAAAAATAATCGCTCTTATTCTCCATCACATTCTCGAACTAAACAGTGTAGATAAACGAGGGAAACGGGAAAAAGCTGACCTATACGGTGGTGCGGTTTGAGTCCAGCCATGTCCATGCGCTTGGAGAAAGCTTCCCTGTAGTTGCAGAGGTCGACTGGTTCTTGCACAGAAGAATGCCTGCAGAAACAGCGAGAAAGAGGAAGAAGACGAAGACGTGGAAGCCTGAAGGGAAATTTGCATCGTGGTGATGGGAATTTGGATTTGGTAGAAAAGAGGAAGAAGGAGTGGTTTGTTCTCGTTTGCGGCCACGGGATAAGGCCCTGCGCCATGGCTTCCAACTCTCAAGTCTTCACTTCACTCGTCGGGAGCTTCCTTCTAGAGCGGGCCCTTTTGGGCAACTAATACATTTTTCTTTTCTTCTTTTCCTTTTTAACAACA